TAACCGAATATTGGCAAGTAGAGCTTGCGGACCAGCATGCAAGAGTTTGTAATGCTGGTGTCGTATTATTAGTTCTGTCAGTACATGATTTGATGGCAAAATGATTGGATGTTTTTGCGAAAAATCAAAATTGGAGTGTTTGATTCTTCCACCTACTCTTAAAATATTATTAGTGTCTAAAAATGGATTGAGAAATACAAGCTTATTATGAGATTTCAATGATTTATCTTTTATTAGACGGTCAATATCATCTGAAAATGATTGTTTTTGACAAAGTTTAATGAGACAATTAAGACCACTGTTCAACTCTTGAATAGATAAATGAGCAGTTTGTTTATTTGCTTTATTTTTACAATTATTTTTGAATCGTAAAACTAAACTTACAATACGTTGTAACTTATTTAATGATGAATACAATGAGAAAATATTGCAGTTATTTACATTTTCAGTTGCTATTAAAGTAACGTTGGAGTTCGTTTTTCTTTCTGGAATTTTTTCACTTATTTTTATATTTGATGCAGGCCAGCTTTCTTGATCATCTTTTAACCACACTGGCCCAGACCACCATAAAGATGATGACAAAATTTCTTCCGGTTTCATTCCCCTGGAAATTATATCCGCAGGATTATCCGATGAACTAATGTGATGCCATTGATTTGTTTTTGTTAAGGTTTGTATATGGGACACCCTATTTGCAACAAAGGTTTTCCAATGATAAGGTTCACCTGCTATCCAGGATAAAGTGATTGTGGAGTCACACCAATAAAATGTTTGAGTGATTTCAATCTCTAGCGATGATTTGACTTTGTCAACTAGTCTTGATAACAGGACAGCTGCACAGAGCTCTAATCGTGGTAATGAAACTACTTTTAGAGGTGCTACTTTTGATTTTGCACATAATAACTTCACAATATGATTTCCTACATCATTCGTGGACCTGATATATACTGCACCACCGTATGCGGCCTCAGAAGCATCGCAAAATGCATGAAGTTGGATGATTGTTGATTTCTGGTGTAGGACATGTCGGGTAATACGCATGTTGTTAATAATTGAAATTTGGTTTTCAAACTCACACCAAAGTGTATGTAATTCAATTGGCAAAGATTCATCCCAGTTCACATGAATTTTCCAAAGTTTTTGGAGCAAGATTTTTGCAATTAACACACATGGTCCCACTAATCCCAAAGGATCGAATATTTGAGATATTGTAGACAAAATACTTCGTTTTGTGATTTTGTTATTCTTTGGAACTGATACTTGATATTGGAATGTGTCCTGTATTTTGTCCCAATATAGACCAAGTGTCTTGTTGATAGTATCACCAAAGGCTATGTGTTGGGAATTTGAATCTACATTAGCAAATTCAGTGGCCAATACTTGCTGGTGATTGGATGACCACTTTCGTAAGTTGAAACCGTGTTGTGATAAGACTTGTTGAATTTGAATTTTCAGGTCAATTGCTTCTTGTATTGTTTCAGTGCCTGAAATTAGGTCATCGACATAAAAATCACGTTTTATAACCTTGGCGGCTAAAGGGTATTCTTTTTCATGTTCCGATGCAGCTTGCTGTAAGGACCTTATGGCTAAAAATGGTGCGCTAGCCGTTCCATACGTTACTGTGTTCAATTTAAAATGCTGTAAAGGTTGAGATGGATCTGATCGCCAGACGATTCTTTGCAAATCCCGATGACTTTCCTTTATGAGAACCTGTCTGTACATTTTCTCTACGTCGCTTATCAAGACAATATTATGTTTACGGAAACGCACTAATATTGAAAATAATTCTGCTTGTATGGTGGGACCTACTTTCAGTTTGTCATTCAACGATATGCCAGAATCTGTCTTGGCAGAGGCATCAAATACAACTCTTAATTTGGTGGTAGTACTTGTTTCCTTTACAACTCCATGATGCGGCAGATAAAAGTGAGTGTTATTTGGTTTCAGTTCATTTTTTGATATTTTGCTCATATGTCCTAGTTCTTCATATTCCTGCATGAATGCTATGTATAATCTTTTCAAATTTTCATTTTTGTCTAATTTCTTTTCTAAATACTGAAATCTTTTTAGTGCTCTTTCAAAAGAGTCTCCTAATTCTTCTATACCGTCTTTGATAAGTAGTGGCACTATAAATCTCCCTTCTTCATTTTGTTTTATAGTATTTTGTATTTCTTTTTCACATTCTTCTTCTTCATTGCTCAAGTGAATCTTATTGTCATAATTTTCTAGCTCCCAAAATCTCTGCAGTTGTTCTTCTAGTTGTAATTGCGCAAAATTGCACACGCTAGTGCTTTGATTTATATTGCACGGTACTTCACCTGAAATCACCCATCCAAATTTTGTTTTTTGCCACATGGCCTTTTGGCCTTGAATTCGTATTTGACCGATACACAATAAATCATAGAAAATTGACGCCCCAAGCAAAATGTCAATTTTACCTGGCACATTAAAGCACTCGTCTGCAAGAACTATATTTTGTGGTATCACTAAGCCAATAATATTCACAAATTTCACGGGTAGATTTTCTGTTATTTTTTCTAACACCAAAAAACTTGTATCCTGATAATAAGAATTGAAGCGGGATCTTATTCTAGATTTTGTTGAAAAATTAATTTTTGTTGTGTTAGAATTTATTCCGGTAATTGGTACATTCGTTTGTTGTCTTTGTAAACCTAACTTGTCACAGAGTTCACGAGTCATGAAATTTGATTGAGACCCCGAGTCTAAAAGTACCCGAGCATCATGAAAATTACCTTTGTTGTCACGAATTTGTATTATTGCTGTTGATAATAAAATTTCAGAAAACCTTGAGATTACTGAATGAGATGCCAAGCCACTAGGTATAAGACTTTCATTGATGCCTAATGTTTGATTCCTTGATTGAATAAGTGATTGGTATTGGTCTGATTGATTAAGTGGTTGACAATTATTGTTGCTGATTTGGTTTGAAGATTGTGATTCATTCGATTGATTTGACAAATGAAAATTGTTGGATTGATTTGATGATTGATTCTGATTTGATTGTTTCATTTTTCAGGTGACACAGTGATGACGTCACAACATAGTGCTTTGTAAATATGAGTTGTAAGATCTATCATTGCATCTTCGGTCGATATATTTTTTCTAAAGCCGTATTGTTTTTTTGAAAGGATATTATGTTTATCAAGAAAGTTTATGATACGATCGTTTAAAATTTTTTCAAAGACCTTAGAAAATCCACTTATAAGAGAGTGGTCGATAATTACTAACATCGAGCTTGTCTCGATTTTTGAAAATAGGTCTAATTATGGTTTTTTTGAATATTTCCGGAAAAACCCCATTTGTGAATGATTTGTTTATTAAGGAGGCTAGGGGTCCAGCTATGGAATTCGAAAATCTTTTAAGAGTGTCATTACTAATATTGTCGTAGCCAGGTGCTTTCCCACTTTTAAGTTCATTTATTTTTTGAGTAATTTCATGTTCATCAGTAGGACGCAAAAATAATGTATTATTATTACAATAACCATTTTGTTGCCTGAATAAATTATTATTGTGAGTGCATGGTTTTATTTTATCAGATAAGGATTTTCCCACTGTGGTAAAAAAGTTGACAAAACTATCTGATATTTCTTTGCTATCATTTGACTTCTGTCCATTCTTTGTATAAATTTCGGTTATTTCGTTTTTTGTGCTTTCGGCTGAGATTTCTTTTACAAGGGACCAAATTGCTTTGGAATTTTCTTTAAATCTCGAGATTTTTGCCTTATAGAAGTTATATTTGGTGGATTTTATTAGAGAAGTTAATTTATTTCTATAAAGTTTGTACCTATTAACATTTTCTTGCGATGGGTGCTGTTTCTGTATTTTAAATAACTTGTTTTTTCTTTGGATTGACTTAAGTAGCCCTCCAGTAATCCATGGAGTTTTTTTTGCTGTTTTATTTTTGAGCCTAATGTAAGTGGTGCTCTGTTCCAAGTAGCTATTTATTATGTCAATGAATGAGTTTGTGCATTTATTTGCATTATCTTCATTATATACGAGATTCCAGTTTTCGTCTTCAAGCATATTGTTAAGTTTAGCGTAGTTAGGTTTGGTCAATTCATTGTCGGATAACAAATTTATGTTAATGTCCCCGAGAAATATATAAACATCAAAGCCACTCTCACATTGCCTTAAGTAATCTGATAAGTCATGGATAAAAGTATTTGCACATGTGGATGGTGGTCTGTACGCAGCCGTCAGGTGAATCCTTCTGTTAAAGAAATGTATAATAATCTGCAACACTTTTACTGGACCCATATTGATCACTTTATACGAATAATTAAATGAATTTTTGATAAATACCACTACACCATCGTTTTTATTTATGTCGCCTTGACTATACAATAAGTTATATCCGTTTATTTTGTATATGTCAGTGTTAGTTAGTGTCCATGTTTCAGAAAGTACAATGCAATCAAAGGGGGTTTCGACTTCATGCAACAAAGTCAAGAATTCATCAAAGTTTTTATTAATACTACGTATATTTTGGTGGATGATCTTGAAACTTGAGAGCTTCTCTTTATCTAGTTCCCATTTGCATTTACTCACACTATCTAGAGTTAAGGTTTCAATCTGTTTTGTTTCGAACCCCCGTATATAATCATTCATGTCAAGATAATTATTATGCTGCCCAAAAAATCAAAACAAATGCCGCAATGGAACAAAAACTACAACAGAATGATTTTTTCTCAACCAATTCAAATATAAGTAACTTAATAAGGATGAGTAGATACCAAAGATTCAATATTTAAAAAAAAAAAAAAAAAAAAATTAAAAAGCGTAATAAATGTAATTTCTTCTTTCAATATAAGATGTATGTTATAATCAAACACAAATTGTTTGAATTTATTTATTTATGGATAGGGAAAAGAAAAAAAAAAGAAAATTAGTAAATTAGAAAATTTGAACAAAAAGGCAGAAAAGGAAAATCATGTGTAAATCTGACATCATAAAGAAAAAAGTCAAACCAGATAATCGAATTATTTCTTTTTTTTTGTTCTGGTGTTATGTAATGTAAGTGTTTTTGGGCTAATGTGGTTTAGTTTTCTTTTCACTGAGTTGTTCTCTCGCGCCCTCTGTCCAGACCTCTGTCTGGAATGAAATTCAGTCTCGACTTGATCTTTCTCACTCGAATCGTCTTCGTCTTCACTCTCTTCTGGATTCTCTTCAGGAGAATATTCTAAATCGGCTGCGGTATACCATTTATCTTCAATTTGAATTCTTAGCCCCTGTATTTTGCAAGTTTTGTTGCTTTCCTTAGCAAGTTTAAAATGTTTTCTTAGAATCTTGTGGTCTCTGCGGTTCTCTGGGCACATATCATTCGAAACAGAAATTTTGTGTTTGCGAAGTTCCTTCAATTTTTCTGTGCTCTTGAAAATTTCTAACTTTTTGAGAAATGTAGAGAATTCTATTATAACTGGTGACTTGGGATCCCTGTTTAATTGGTATATATTATTAATATCTGTGAGCTCCAAATTTAATTCAAATAGCGTGTTGATTTTGGCAATCACATAGTTAGCCAACGACTCTTGCTGTTGGTTTTCTAATCCAAAAATTATTACGTTGTTTTTGCGTAATTTTCTTTCCAAAACTATATTTCTCTCTTCCAACTTTAGGATTCTGCTTGTGTTTTCTTCTACTTTGCGATCAATTGGTTTAATTTTCTTATTGAATTCTTCCTTTAGTTCCTTGGTCTGTTTCTGTAGTAAGAGCTTTATGTCCTCCAGTGAAAAATCGCCCATAATTTGCAATAGCGAATTAAATAGTACAATTAGAATTTACTTTATCACTATTTCGCAGATTTATTAATAAAAAAAAAAAAATTCCAAGTCCTTGTTGTTGAAATACAGGTACTTATGCGTGCATGGTTTTTTGCCGATTCGTATTAAAATTCAAGTTAATACCGGTGGGACAGTTTTGTGCGAATTTGAGTCTTATGTTGATAACACATAAAGTACATACCTGATTTTACACGAAAATTCAGACTTTTCACTTTAAAAAAGTAATTTTTTTTTAAACAAGAGCTCACTATCCATGCACTCACCCCCGAATAGCAATTTAATTACTATTTTCACCACTTAAAATGAACAAAAACTCGTTGACGAAATATAGTACATGCTGCACCGACGACGGATATGATAGGTGAATTTGGAGTGATTGTGTTAAACTCATTGGCTAATTTCGCCAAATTTTTGTTTTTTCTGAAACCGATACTACATCCGTTTTCTTGTTTTTTATTATATGTTTGTACTTTGCCGCAAGGTTTACCAGAAGATCTTTTTCTTGGGCAGTAATTTCCAGCTCTTATTTTTTCATTTACATTCATTGTTGAACGGACGTGTTGTCGCGAGGTATTGTAAATCATAAATTAAAATTGACCTATTTATTTTTATTTATTTAAACCACGAATCTATTGTCAATAATTTCAAAACATTATTTAATTTTCTGGACTTCAAAATTCCATCAAACCACTACGCAAAGCTGAGTTTAAGGTTATGATGGCGAACAAAAGCAAGGTTGCCAAAGCTAAACAACACTTAGTTAAGATTCACCAGAAATGCGGTGGTGGAATGCAAATTTAATTGAGCGGTGCTTACATTTTAAGGGACGCTTAGATATTCTCAGCTTAGAGCTTTATTGGTGGAAACGGCCATTAAGCGTTATTTAATCAATCCTAACTTACTAATAAAGTCTGTTTTTTTTTAAAGATAAAAGTCAAAATGATATTATGTTGGCAATACAATGTAAAATTGTCAATGCTTTCAAATTTTTTATGAAGAAAAGGCTTGTGACGGAACTAGCTATTGCCCCTTTTTTGGGCTTTAGTTAAACCGCACCAGGGGTGCCAAAAGTTTTCACTTTGACTGACTGAAAAAATTAAGCATCAGGTGTTGGATCATTTAAGCCTTGTATTGGGTTAGGGGTGCCTTGATTCTCATTTATACAAATAAAACGCTGAAATAGAATAGTTATCAATTTAATTAATAAATGAAAGTAATTCGGTATAATCAGCAATCAAATCCTATCTAAAAATTCCTAATTGGACGTCCAGTCAAACTACAAATTTTATACTAATCTAAAGTAAATAAGTATCTTGATTTATAAAAAATAGGAAAAATCTGATAATGATAATAATGATCAAATTTAAAAACATTTTTCTTTGTTGCTACCTATTAAAAGACTTTAAATATTCTTGGCAACACCGCCAATTAAAATCCCACAGATGACAGACACACCTGTGGCATTATTCTTGACTTTACCTAGGTAGAAAATTTGACATTGTTGACAGTTAATGTACTGTTTAATTGTCAACACAGTCAAATTTTCTCTAGAGAGAAAGTCAAGAATAAGGCCTCTGGAGAGGGCAGCCAGCGCAAGCGAAAATGACCCTAATAAAAAGAAGAAATAAGAATGACGTTGTAATTGGTTCGAGTTGGTTGTTATTCTGATTTCCATTGCCTTTAACGTTGTACTGTACTTGCAATATACTGATTATTAAGAAACAATGTTCCCAAGTCGTTTTTCTAATTTTGAGTCTATTTCCCTCAATTAAAAGGGCATTTAAGCTAAATACAATTTGAACCAGCAAAGCAATTAAAAACATTTGGTCCTTCGACACGGATTCTTGGAGTTTCCCAATTAATCCAGTGAAAAAGCGAAAAATTAATGACGCCATTTGTGAACCGCATTTTTGGCCATTTGGGGACTGCATTTGTGCATTAAAAAAGTCCACCTTGTTGTGGTACACCGTCACGTCCGAAAAAAGGATTTTAATCTGTAATTTGATGATGCCGACGATTTAAGAAGTATCAAAAGAGCAGATATCCTTTAATTTTATCCATTTTCCTATTTTCATTGCCATTAAAAGTGAGGTTTGTAGAATATCTATGTCAATTAGCCAATTTAAAACAATTATTTTACGTTCGATTTCGATTATTGAGTTATTATTCTTTTCATACCTTTAAGGTTTTAGCCTATAATTTATTTAAGATTTTGCTAAATATTGAGCTGAGCTTGTCATTACTAGTTTTTTGGTGAAATTACTTCAATTTACCAAGATATTTAAACCTATCTACCTATTTGAAGGTTAGAAAATAATGGATCGAGCCCAGTGGTTCTGGAACAGCTTCCGAACAAGGAGCTGCGAAGGAATCAGCTTCACTCGATTTAAAACGATTGATAAGAAACAGAGGTACAATTAAGCATAAATTAACCATTCTAGAAAAATATATTACTTCAATTAAAGCTTCTTTGCATCAAAATAAACCCAATATCAATGACGTCGAGCTCAGATCTAAAAATGGTTCAATTTTATTGCAAGAATTTGATCAGGTGCAGTCAATGATAGAGTCATTATGCGAGGAAACGGACTTAGATGTTCATTATGAAGAACGTGAAAAATTTCAAGAAAGATTTTATGTAACCCAAGATTTTTTAACACAATATTTAAATAATGAAAAGCCTTCAATTGAGGAGAATCGTTTGAATCCTGCAGAGTTGAATAACCCAACCTTGATTCAAGAAAATTCCAATTCGTTACAAAATGTTTTATTACCGAAAATTAAATTACCGATTTTTACAGGCAAATTTGAAGATTGGCTTAGCTTTAAGAGTAACTATACATCTATTATTTCAAATAATGCAAGCTTAACTGAATTACAAAAATTCCAATACTTGAAAGCTTCCTTAGAAGGATATGCAGCTAGATTTGTCGAGGGTTTGGACGGAATAGATAAACCATACACTAGAGCATGGGAGATACTATGTGACAAGTTTGATAAAAACAGTTCTTATTAGATTCTCACTTTCAAGGCTTGTTAAATACTCCTAAAATTCAGAAAGAAAATTTTGAGCAATTGAGTCAGATTTTGGATCAATTAACTCAACATTTGACTGCCATTAATGTCATGAATTTAAATTCAGAAATTCTATTTGATTCCTTTATTATTCATTTAGTGTCGAGTAAGATGGATAAAAGCAGTTTGTGCGAATGGAAAGAGCTCGATTATGATTCAGATTTGCCTACCCTGGATGAATTCTTAGATTTCATAAAGAATAAAGTCGATTTGTTAAAATCATTGGAGCAGTCTTTTAAGGCTAATAGTGTGGTACCTGAGCAAAAGCCAAATAATTTTCAATCATTTAATAGAAAATATCCTCTTAAAAAATATGATCAATCACAAATTCATTTTGCCCAAAATAAGGAATGGACAGCGTCTTCGCTTAAATGCAATTTTTGTAAAGAAAACCACACTATTTATAAATGCTCAGATTTTTTGAAACTAAATGTAAAGGATAGATCAGAGAACGTAAGACGATTGAATTTATGTCGTAATTGTTTGCGGACGGGTCATTCTTCTAATCAGTGCAATCTTTCGCCTTGCAAAATATGCAAATCAGAAAACAAGTCTTTTAAACACAAATTCACTAATACATTTTAATACCCAAGAAAATTCTGATCTAAATCAAACTCGAACACAGATCGAAACCAATTTAAACATGTTAGTTAAACCCATTAAACCAGAAACCAATTTGAATTCTCAGGTTATGTTATCCACAATTATATGCAATGTTAAAGATTCAACAGGGAAGTTTCAAAGGTGTAGGGCTCTACTAGATAGTGGTGCTCAATCTAATTTAATTAGCGAACCATTTTGTAACAAGTTAAATATACAATGTACCCCTGCTAATCTGTCCATTGTTGGTATCACACAGGTAACCTCCCAACTTAATAAAAAATGCACAATTTCTCTATCTTCCAACTGTTCTGATTTTACATGCACAATCTCATGCTTTGTCACTCCTATTATAACTAGTAATATTCCTTTACATTCCGTTGATGTTACCAATTGGATTATACCGAGACAAATACAATTAGCTGACCCAGAATTTAATACCTCCAAAGGCATTGATTTGCTAATAGGTGCTAGCCTATTTTGGGATCTGATCCTGGAAGGAAAGATAAAATTAGGTACCCATCTTCCAACGCTATAAAATAGCAAGTTTGGTTACATTGTTACTGGCAATTGCCCTATTTTATCCAATACTTCTATTTGCAATTTCATCAAGGTACACATTCCAGAGGATGATCAATTGAAGAAATTCTGGGAGCTTGAGGAAGTACAAGGTTCTACTCCCTCTAAAAATGAAGATACTGAATGTGAAACACTATTTGAACAAGATACCTTTAGGAATGAGCAAGGACAATTCGTGGTCAAATTTCCACTCAAACATCCATCTTCTTTGTTAGGTGATCCCAAAGAGACAGCAATTAAAAGATTTTATTCCCTAGAAAAGAAATTTGCAAATCCCGATTTCAAGAAACTTTACATCGATTTCATTCAAGAATATGAGTCTTTAGGTCATATGACCAAACTTACTAACGAGGACAAAATTTCCAAACCTATTTCAAATGCCTATTTTTTACCTCATCATGGGGTTTTGAGGCAGGACAGCATAACTACCAAATTAAGGACTGTTTTCGATGGTAGCTGTACTACCACCATAGGCTGGTCTTTGAATGACTTACAGTATATTGGCCCCAAGGTTCAGAACGATATCATTGACATTTTGCTGCGTTTCAGAACCTATATCTACGTGGTTTCTGCCGATGTATCAAAAATGTATCGTTGTGTTCTGATGCATTCTGATCATCGTCCATTACAGCAAATTTTATGGCGAAACAATCCAAACGAGGAACTTTCTACTTATCAATTGAATACTATTTCGTATGGCACTAGTT